GAGTTGTGTGGACTCCAGAGTCCAGGCTCTAAACCTTTATGCCATATTGAGCATTTTACCCCTGAACACATAACTAGGAAATGGCAGCGTCAGGGTTAGAAGCAAGCCTGGGGTTCCAAGACTAGCACTTTTCTTGAGCCACTATGTTGTAACAGTGAATACGAGTAAAATCAGAGGACCAGAGTTTCACCAGCTATAGCCCAGAGATCTCAATCAGGCCCAGACAAAAGGTCTAGGTAGATGCAGTTTGAGGAATTTGATCTGCTGTAAGGAGTACCTTCTGACCTGGTCTGCGATAGGAGGGTTTGCTACTTTTATTAGACCAGACTTTCTATGACATATCTCCAGGTCCATGCCAGTGTGGACCTTTCACTGGGTTAGAGAAGAATCTCTTTTTTCCTGCCCTTCATTTCCCTGGGTCTGATTTGATATTAAACTTCTATGTTGTTCTGTTTTGAACAAATGTGGTGAGAATTTGACAGCTAAAGAGGCTGAAAGCTCAGATTTGACTAAAATTGGGTTTCATCCAAGAAGCATTAATTTAATCTCCACGTATTTCTAACCCCAATTACCAGAGGATGTGAGGATTTGGACACTTTTCTTGCAAAAATGTCTTGTAATACACACTTTAAAATTACAGTCATGTGCCACATAATGTCCATTCAGGCAACATCTGACCCATATACTCCTTGGTCGGTGTGCGCCTTGGAGGGGGCGACGCTCATGGCCCGACTCAGCATAGAGTCACCCCGCCGCCCCCATTCATGGGAACAGGCGCCCCTGCCACTGGGAGGAGTTGGCCCACGATCCTGCTCCCAAGGATCTAAGGTTGGCAGCTATCATGGGTCCTAGCCAGGGCACAGGCGCCGGGTTGTGGAGACCGCTCCCCTGCTGCCCTGGTCTCTGCCTGGAGCCTCCCTGCCAGTGCTAGTGCTGGAGCCTAGTGCTCACCTGAGGTGTCCACAGTGGGAGCTGCCAGGACACGCACCATACAGCAGCACCTGGGCCCTTGTGCCTGGGAGCCCCAAGCCCCAAGGACCCAGGTGTTTGTACAACGTCCAAATCACATAATGTCCTATTTCACAGAATGTATTGTGGACGTTAAGTGACCCATGACTGTACACGTGCTCTTATTAACACTTGGGTTTTATATATGAAAGATTCTGTGGGAAGTAAAATTCTAGCAATTTTAGCGACTCTCATTGTTAGAAAACCTCTCCCTTGACAGTTTATTACTATGGGTCATGTATAATAGCACATTACTCATCCCTGTCTGCGTGCCAGCTAAATTCTCCTCCATTTTCTCTCCAAACCAACTCTTCTTGGTTCTAAACTCACTTCTTTCAAAGAAACCACCTCTGATGGTGTTGGGTTATTATTAAAAATGCCTTCTACTGGCTTAGTGTTTTAGTGTCCGCAAGGTATGTTCATGTATATTTCATCGTTTTAAGCTTCAAGACAACATGCTGTGGCAAGTAGAGGACATGTTTTTATCCTTAAATGACTGAAAAATCTGAGGTTCAGGGAGTCCAAGTGACTCGCACAAGATCTCATGCTTATTTACTAATGAACTGGGTGTTGTCACTCCAAGTTTGGCTTTCTTGTCATTAAAATATGCTGCTTGCTCCACATCACTGTCAGGCCTTTGTAAACTTGAAAAACTGATTCTGAGATTACCTAGAAAAATAAATTGGTGAAACTGGCTAAGATGCTTTTATGTAGAAAGAGTAACAGGTGATTTGCTGTACCAAATATTAAGATAGTAATAACTAACACTTATTGAATGTTTACTTGTAGCTACTGTTATTATCCCCATTTTACAGATGAGGAAGGTGAGGCATGGGGAAATTAAGTGACTTTCCAAGGTCACATGAATGGATGGAGCCGGGATTTTAACCCAAGGCTCCAAGGCCTCTTTCTTAACTACTACACTCTGATTCCCTCTCTCATTTATATAACCTGAATAATTAAAACAGCTGAAGACTTAGTAGGCAGATCAATGGAACAGAATACATAGCTCAAAAGCAGACCCTAATGTATACAAGAACAAAGACATGATTAAGTTGAGAACTCAAATCAGTGAATAATGGCAGGTGTATTCAATAAATGGCACCAAAGAAATAATAGAGTACGTGGTTAAATGTACAGGCTTTGGTATCAGACACATCTAAGCTTGTGTCACAGTTCAATCATTTATTAGCTTTGTGACCTTGGCATAAAAACAGCAACTAACTCATCGAGGAATGTAAAGTGCTTCACATAACGCCTTATACAAAACAAGCTCTCAACAAATATTAGCTGTCATTATTATGAGTCCCTGGGTGGTGCAAATGGTTTTTGTGTTCTGCTGCTAACTGAAAGGTTGGAGATTTGACTCCACCCAGAAGTACCTCGAAAGAAAGGCGTGGAGATCTGTTTCTGAAAAACCAGCACTGAAAACCCTATGGAGCACAGTTCCACTCTCACTCACAAGGGGTCACCATGAGTCAGAACCACCTGGATGGCAATTGGTTACCATTGTCATTGGAGTGGCAGGAAATAAAACCAGATTCTCAATGCCTTATACCATGCACAACAAAATTTCCAGTTAAACGTAGAAAAAAAGAAAAAAATAGGGTAACTCTTATCTAATCTGAGAATGAGGAAAGATTTTTCCAGTTATAAAAACAATGGAAAAAATCTTAAAACACTGATAGTTGTACAATAATAAAAGTCAAAACATCCATGTCTTAAGCATGAAATTAAAAACAGTAAATTGGAGGAATATTTACCACAAATAACAAAGGATTAATATCCTTAATACATAAAAAACTCACATGAATAGGTAAGAAAGTCACTCTAATACCCATAGGAAAAACCAAAAAAAAAACCCCAAAAAACATGCAGAGATTAAGAACACCCAGTTCACAAGAAATTTTAAAAAGGTCAAGAAATACTCAAGAAGTACAACCTCCCTAGTTAGCAAAGAAACAGACACTTACCAAGAGTATTTTTTGCCCGTCAATTTGGCAAAGTTGAGCAAACAAAATAATGATACCCAGTGCTAAGACTGTTGAGATGGGCCTACTTATACATTGCTATGAAGGGTTAGCTGGCATAGTTTTTATGGAAAGCAATTTGACAGTATATCTCTAAATCTTAAAAATGTTCATATCCTTTCACCCAGTGGCTCCACTTCTAGGAATCGCCTTCAGAGGGAATCAAAGGAACAAAAAGTAGAGAAAAATTGGAATGAATGTAAATGCTCAGTAGTAGAGAATGGTTCAAAAAAATCATGGAAAATCCATAGAATTAAATTTAAAGCAGCTATTCAAAATCTTGTTTCTTAAGAATGTAATGGCATGGGAAAATACTTATAATAAAAAGTGAAATGAAAAAGCAGGATAAAAATGTTATTCAAAAGATTATACACATATATACATACAGTGGAACCTGTGAGAGCTGGAACTCGATGGGACTGCCTTGTTTTTCCAGGTCTCACGAGTTTTCTGCTTTTGACACGGTAGAGTCTTACTAATTTTTTATTGTTCATTTTAGTGGAAAATATTTGAGTTTTCCTTCCCTGACAGGTTTTCACCTTACACAGACTCTAGCTTTCACAGGTTTTACTGTAGTACAAAATACATAATTTATACTATGTATGTAACAGCCAGAATGCTCCTTAGAGGCAAGGATGGCAAGACTTTGTCTCACATACTTTGGACATGTTATCAAGAGCAACCAGTCCCTGGAGAAGGACATCATGCTTGGTAAAGTAGAGGGTCACTGAAAGAGAGGAAGACCCTCAAAGAGATGGATTGACACAGTGGCTGCAACAATGGGCTCAAACATAACAACGATTGTGAGGATGGTGCAGGATCGAGCAGTGTTTCATTCTGTTGTACACAGGGCTGCAATGAGTCGGAACCCACTCGGCGGCACCTAACAACAACTGTGTGTATGTATATTAGAAAAAAGGCTGGAAGGAAATATGCCAAAATGTTAAAAATGGTATTCCCTTAGTGAAAAGATTATGTAATTATAGTTCCTTTCTTACACTTCTCTAAATTTTTAAAAATTTTAAGTAATAAGCATGTTTTACATTTAAAATACACCTCCAAGAGCAATAGGTGGTTATTTTCACATCCGAGGACAGGTGAGGAACTGGCATAGAAACAAGGCATGGGGGAAAGCAGGTAGACTTTGGAGTCTGACAGACTATGATCCCTGGCTCTGCCTTTTTCTAGCTGTATGACTGAACAAATTACCCCACTTCGTGGAACATTAGTATCCTCATCTGTAAAATGGGGATGATAATCGTATCTCCCTCATGGGATTGTTGTGAGGAGTATAGGTAATACAGATACTAGTCACCTGATGGAGCCCTGATGGTGCAGCGGTCAAGCATTAAGGTTGCTAACCAAAAGGTTGGCAGTTCAAATCCACCAGCCGCTCCCTGGAAACCCTATGGGGCAGTTCTACTCTGTCCTATAGTGTTGCCATGAGAAGGAATCGACTTGACAGCAACAGGTTTGTGTGGTTTTTGGTCACCTGATAACGCTGATTGGCTGATAAGTCTTATACCATATAGTGAACCTTCCATGAATTACCAGGAAGAGAAGGGTTTGTGTGTGCATGCGTGTATATGTGTGTAGGTGTATTTTTTTTCCATATTACAAATACAATAGGCATGGTGACAGACTTGTCCAGGGCCACATAAGCTCTGCATCTCTTCTTATATACCTACCATATCACATGCCTCATACCCAAAAACCCCACTGCTGTCGAGTCGATTCTGGCTCATAACGACCCTATAGGACAGAGTAGAACTGCCCCATAAGGCTTCCAAGGCTGTAAATCTTTACAGAAGCAGACTGCCACACTGTTCTCCCACGGAACAGCTGGTGGGTTTGAACCATCGACCTTCGGTTAGCAGCCAAGGGCTTTAACCACTGCACCACCAGGGCTCCTCACATGCCTCATAAAAGTATATAATTCTAAAGACTGCAGAGGGCTCCTACCTTTGAATTATGGCTACTTGTAGTTTCTTTACAGCACTGCTGAGGACTGTCTTCCATTTCAGAGTTTCCGATTTTGAGTAAGGATATGGAAAGATCCAACCTTAAAAAAGAAAAAAAATGTATACTGAATAGAGAGATTATTTCAAAATTTACACCAAGCCAGTACTTGGTCTACCAAAGCCTACTTCAAAAGGGACCAAAATCATATTACAGTATAAATATTTACCAGCTTAAGAATTACCTCTTCCCACGGGGATTTGTACCTATATGGGATCAAAGATTTAGGCTAAAGGATTAAACCTCTATGATGGCACCTGAGGTATTTGAGGGCTTTCAAGAATCCCTGCACACCATGTGGATCTAATAGATCAGATTCTTCACGCATTCTCCAGTCTAGGGACAGAATCCCATCTACCAGAAAGAACATTTTGTCAGCAGTCAGTAAACCAGAGTTCTGCTCCTGACTCTCCCATTAACCAGCTTTGGTACTCAACCTCTCTGGGCTTCAATATTCTCACCTCTCTCACCAGAGAATTGGATGAGATGATCTCTAAGGCCCCTTTCAGCTCTAACATTGTTCCCTTGTAGAACTTCTACCCTTGCCATAAACGTATAGAAAGATCCAAAGACAACTTTTAGGAGAATGGGAAAAGAAAAAAAAAAATCTGATATTATTTATTTCATCCCATTGAGTCTAGTCCATTCAATAAACTAGCAACTCAGATTTAGAAAAAAAAGAATTGGAAAATAAATGAAAGCGGGAAAGAGGACATTAAATCTTACTACACAAGTACTATTCATGTTTATCCTATGCATGGGTGTTTTTAAACATTAATTATGCTAAGAATCTGTATACTCTTTATCTCCAGGTCTTTTGCCTTAGCCATGAGCTCTTCATGTTAGCCACATCTCCAGGTGAAACTTTGGATTAGGGCATTGTGGCTCCCCTCCATTCCCCACTCTATTGCTGTTGTTGTTAGCTGCCATTGAGTTGGCCTCCTGACTTATGGCAACCCCATACAAAACCCAGCCCTAACTAAAGGACAGGCTTTACCTTCTCTTCCAAAAATATGGAACTATCTAACTTCCCTTACTTTGGAGTATTACCCCATCCTCATTCCATGTGGCTCAAACTGGGCTGACAATTACACTTCCTTGCCACCCATGCCCATAGGGATAACTAATGACCCAGATTTCATCAATCATAGTACTCCATCTCCCAGGCAACCATGATTGGTCCATACAGTGAGCCCAGCATGACTCAATAGAGCTAATCAGTAATTACCTGGGATTGACACAGGGCATTGGAAGAAAAGAAGCACTTTCTTCCTCAGCAGGGAGCATGGGAATCTAGGGATGGCAGCGGCCATCTTCTTCACCGTGTAGAGAGAGCCTGACTACAGAATGCAGCCAAGCAGAGATGGACAGAGCAGAAGAGTTTCTATTGTTGAGTCCCACATCCAGCGTGGGCCCTGTTCCTGTAGTTCTTCTTTAATATTGTGAGCTACCACACCACCAGTGGTGTTGTTGTTGATGGGTGCTGTCAAGTTTATTTTTGACTCATAGCAACCCCATGTGACAGAGCAGAACTGCCCCATAGGATTTTCTAGGCTGTAATCTCTATGGGAGCAGGTTACCAGGTCTTTCATCCACAGAGCTACTGGGTGGGTTCGAATCGCCAACCTTTTGGTTGGCAGCTGAGCACTTAACCATTGTGCCATGAGGGCTCCTTACTTCCCCACCCCACCCCAGTACATGAGCAAATAATTCTCTTGTTGCTTAAACTAGTGTGAGTTGGGTCACTTGCTACCAACAGAGTCCTGACTAATATAACCACATTCAGATTCATTCCCACTGGCTCTTGAGAACCATCCTAATCTTAGACTGGAAGGATTGAACAAGTTCCACCCTAGTTTCCTTAAGATTGAGTAATCTCTTAATTGCTCCCAGCCTCCCATCCTGGGATTTAAGTCCTACCCTTTAGTGACCAAGACCTTGTTCCTCGCTCAGAGACTACCGAGTGGTCTAACCCTCTGTTTGCCATTAGATTACCTGCTCATATACTTCCTGTCATGTGACTTTATCCACCTATTTGTATTCCTGGACATTTCTATGCTGAACTCTCTAGGTGCCTTATGATTTACTTCACTCCCACCTGCTATTGTGTCATACCCATCAGGCTTGCTCAGTATATACCCCGTTGCCATTGAGTCAATTCCGACTCATAGGAACCCTGTAGGACAGAGTAGAACTGCTCCATAGGATTTCCAAGGCTGTAATCTTCATGCAAGTAGACTGCCACATTTTTCTTCTGTGAAGTGGCTGGTGGATTTGAACCACCGATCATTTGGTTAGCAGCTGAGTGCTTAACCACTGTGCCACCAGGCTCCTCCCTCAGTATATACACTTAGGTCTATTTCCTCAACACCTGTCCCACCCCAGGGGGACAGGTCCACTCCCGAATTCTGATCCCTCAATAGATCAAATTCAGAAGTGTGTGTAGGGGATGGGGAGTTGGGGAGGGGATGCTTGACCACTAAGCACATTCCCCCAAAACAGAACCTTTCAAATGATTTTTAAGGTAACATGTTGAAATGATGGTTGTTAAGTCTTGGATGAAAAAGCCATGTAAAAGCAAATCCATGAGAACTGTACAATCAGCTCCATTTCCCACTCACTCTTTGGGCTACACAACAGTTAGTATGTCAGGCCTACATGCCAAGGTTCCCTCCCTCTTCCTAACAGCCATATTTTATTGCCTTTAAAACCTCACTCAGGGATAGATAGTATTTTTTTCTATATTAATGCAAACATCATCTTCCTTGGGAGGGCTCTCTTATAACATTTAGCAATTTAAGAACTAATTTTTGCCCTTCAACACAGAAGTCTTCGCTCTTGGTCCAGAGTTGTTTGTTTCTGTGATGGAAGGGCCAATGGCCACTCTTCCAAGGGCACAAATGCCACTGTCAGCTGGATTCTTGGGGTCATGAAGAAAAGACTTTCAGGGTACAGGGCGAGAAAGAAGGGAATGTCTTTGAAAAGTCTGACTTAGAATCCTTGAATTTAAATGTCTGGCTCTGCCTGAGGTTAGAGTAATAGGATGGCCGGGAGAAAAGTTTCAAATTCAGGGAATGGAAATGACTCTCACTCTTGTTGGCTCATGAGTGCTGACCCTGATTCAGGGGGGTAAAGGAATCTTACCGTCTTCTAAACAGGTCTTAGATGACAGTGAGAAGTGGATGACAAGAGGTAAACTGCTCTCATGGAAGCAGTGGTTTTGGTTGACAAAGGCTAGGAAAAACGAAAAGGAAGAGAAGGGGACCAGGAAGAAGAAAAAGAGTATTTTGTTAGACTAACATCAACAAAAAATCCAATTGTCAATATTTTAATCTTCTAGCCAGGGAATTAGCGAAGTTTTCCATAAACACCAATAATAACCCATGAAATATTTTCATCATTTGCTCTAGAAATAAGCTTTTTAAACTGAAAACTCCTCTACATTATTTCTTGATTTATTGAAAGACCGTTTTATTTACGCTTTTGTTTTAAGAAATGCCCTTCTATATGAGAAGTACTAAAAAATCATTCATGTTTTATTTTCATTTCTTCTTTTAGCAACTGGGTTACAGTCAGAAGCCTGTTGCTGGTAAAGAGACAACCAGGATACAAGCTCACCTCTGGGTCATTATTAAGCGTTGTACTTAAAAGTAAATCTAAAAGAAAGAACTTCATTAATTTATTAAGGGGAATAAACTCATGCTATGGAGAAACAATATCTGTTTTAAAAACTGTATAAAAGCAAAGCAGATAGGGAAATTTTAAAAGAAGGCAAAACTTATGGAGTTTTGAATGCTTTGAATCTTGACTGTTTCGGTGTCAATATCCTGGTTGTGATATTGTACTATAGTTTTGTGAGGTGATGCCATTGGGGGAAAATGGGTAAAGGGTACACGGGATCTAGCTGTATTATTTCTTACATGTGAATTTACAGAATTTCTTGCACGTGAATCTACAATTACCTTAAAACAAAAAGTTTAATGAAAAAGGTTACCTAACGAGGTACAGGAGTCCAGTGACAAGGGCCAGAAGGCAGAATGGGAGAAGAACGCTGGTGAGTAAGGATATTGTTGATGTGTTGTGAGATTGTTAACCATTGTCATAGGGCAACATTTATAGTAACTGTTAAATGAGAAACTATTTTGTTCTGTAAGCCTTCATCTTAAGTGAGAATAACAGCACAATTGGAAGAGCGTAGTCAATGTCACTGAACTGTGTATGTAGAAATTTTTGAAACGGTGTATCTTTGGCTATGTGTATTTTCACCAAAAAAAAAAACGAGGCTGAGAAGTTAGAGGGTTAATATGTTGTGGGGTTGTTAACCAATGTCATAAAACAACATGTGTACTACTGTTTTATGAGAAACTATTTGTTCTGTAAGCCTTCACCTGAAGTACAATAAAATATCAAAAGAAAAGAAAAAAATATATATAATAAAAAAAAAAAAGAAAAGAAAAAGGTTACTTAAGTGGCTTACGTTATGTTTCTGTTGGACCATGCTGTCTAAGAGGTTTTGTAGGATATCTTGAGGCAGAAACTGCATATCACATGGATTCTAGCAAAAGCCTAAAAGATGCTTTATTTAATTGAAAGAGCTATATTCTTATGTCTTTCTCCTGACATTCACTAATTACTTATTAAAATGATCAACATGAATCACATATCAATAATATAAAGTTCTACCAATGTCTCACTGGTTTGTTGTTTTTTATTTATCTTTTTAATCCTAGTGCATTATTTATAAATCTAACCATGAACTTCTACTTACATAATTTTTCCAGAGATTTACTCAATGCAACATGTTCTTTTTCTGCTATAACCAGATGATTTTCCTTATGACATTCTTCTCTTGAATAGCTGGTGATTGTGTAGCCTTTTAAGTCAGCTACAGTCATAGACTTTGAATCTCTTTGCAAGGCTTTGTCTTGCTTCAACAGTAGATTTTTGGATGTATATTTCTTATTATAAGCCCCTTCAGTAAGCTCTTCCCAGCTATAATTTATAAGATTGGCAATTCCCACAGGGAGGGTCATGTTACACTCAGCATATTTCTGCAACATCTTCCCAAGTTCAGACAGAATTTTAGAAGAAATGAGTTTGTATTCTTCTAATATGTGCTTTTGCTGATATTTTTTAGAGACTTGAAGGGCCATAGAAAACTTGAGAACATTAGAAGATTGTAAGGTGCCAAGTGAGTGAAACTCTTCTTCCTCATCAGATACAGTTGATAGTCTTACTTCTAGTCTTTTGGATTCTATCTTCTTTTTATGACTGTAAAAAAATATGTGAGCCTTAAAGTATTTATACACTTTAACATAGTAATTCCACATCTAGAAACCTATCTTAAAGAAATAATCAAAAATATGTATAACATCAGATTGGGGTTTTGGTGCTTGGGCAGTTAGTACCTGCCAATGGTGGCCACGGCCTCTGGGCTGGGATGAACTGTGCTCCCAGTGGAGGCAGGGCAGCGAAGCCAGAGCCATGGCCAGTACAGTAGTAGCAGCTGCACTGACCATTGCTGCTGCAGGATTTGCAGGCCTGTAGGTTTTGCAAGCCACGAAGCATATGGAACCTCAAGTAAAACAAGCTTTTCAAAATCTGCCTTCAGTAGTGGGTATTACAGAGGTGGGTTTGAACCAAATATGACAAAACGGGAAGCAGCATTAATACTGGGTATAAGCCCTACTGCCAATAAAGGAAAGGTAAGAGATGCTCATCAATGAATTATGCTCTTAAATCACTCAGCCAAGGGAGGGTCTCTTTATTTAGCAGTCAAAATTAATGAAGTTAAAGATTTACTAGAACCCAAACCCACTGCTGCTGAGTTGAGTCAAGTTAAAATTGAAGTAAATGTATGATGAATTTTAAAGACCATATTGATTTATGTATATGAATCCAACTTTTTATAATAAAATGTCTCAAAGCTTTGATTTAAAAAAAAGATGTATAATATCTATGCATAAAAGTACTTACTGTAACTTTATTTTTTTATATTAGAATATATGGAAAAGAACCTAAGTAAATAATTCCATAAGCATACAATGGGTTATAAGTTGTCATGAAATATTATGTTTGGAAAATTACCTTTAATAATTTAGAAAAATTATTGTTATAATATTGTATAAAAATATATACAATTGTATGTAGGGAATGATTTCAAATGTATACTATCTATCTACATCTATCATATACTGAAAAATGTCAGTAGAAAACAGACTAAAGAATGAAAAGTTTACTACTGACACTGAAAAGTTAATAAATTATGGGATTATGGGGTAATTTTTATTTTCTTCTTTTATAACAGGAACACTTATTATGTTTACACACAGAAGATAAAAACCAATACTTGTATGTATTTTGTTTGTTTGTTTAATTAGAGATCATTTCTTCCAGGAAGCCTTCCTTGAATTTTTTACGTTAGTCTATATTAAAGACTGAATTGTGTCCCACAAAAATGTGTGTCTACTTGACAAGGTCATGATTCCCCCTATTGTGTGATTGTCCACCATTTTGTCATCTGATGTGATATTCCTATGTGTTGTAAATCCTACCTCTATGATGTTAATGAGGCAGAATTAGAAGTAGTTATGTTAATGAGGAAAGACTCAATCTACAAGATTAGGTTGTATTTTGAGTCAATCTCTTTGGAGATATAAAAGAGAGAAGTGAACAAAGAGACAGGGAAACCTCATTACCACCAAGCAAGAAAACCCAGGAGCACGCGTGGTTTAGACTTGGGGTCCCTGCACTGAGAAGCTCCTAGACCAGGGGAAAGTTGATGACAGGGACCTTTCCTCAGAGCTGACATAGACAGAAAGCCTTCCACTGGAGCTGGCACCCTAAATTCAGACTTCTAGCTTCCTAGACTGTGAGAGAATAAATTTTTTCTTTTTTAAAGCCATCTACTTGTGGTATTTTGCTATAGCAGCACTAGATAACTAAGACAGTGTACAAACATATCTTGTGTTCCCATAGTACATCCTAACACCCCTATCAGATGTTACTATATTTACTAAAATTTTAAGACAGATGATAGAAAACAGATCCACAAAGAATTCAGATATTAGAATTTTCAGACAGTTTATAAAACAAATATGCACACTATATTTAAAAAATAACCTGTGGTCTGCCCCTTTTGGTAATAGCACCTAGGTAATTCACAGTAACTCATCCTTAGAAGATAACTAAAGAAACTAGACAAAACATGAAAAACATTTTCTTAAATGCAATAGAGAGCTAATGAGATAGTGAAGAGTTATTGTCCAGTATCTGGGAGAAGAAGGAAATCCAAAGAGGTAAACTCTGCAGTTTTCCCCCATTCTAGGGAGGTGAGAAATGGGGAGGAGGGAATTTTCCAATTCTAGAACAGACAGCTGAGGAGCTTAGAGGATGATCAGGGCTCTTAAGAGCTTGTGGGGCTAAGGGTTCAAAATCTGGAGTTCAGGGCCTTCCAAGGAAAAGTTATTGGTTGGGACACAAAGGGCTGAATCCTAGGAGTAAAGGTTATCCAAAAGTAGATCTACAGCACCACTTTCAAATACAGCTTCCAATTATCTCAGTCCCTGAAATGTAATTAAACCCCCCAAAAAACCAAACCCACTGCGTCGAGTCAATTCTGACTCAGCGACCCTATAGGACAGAGTAGAACTGCCCCATAGGGTTTCCAAGGAGTGCCTGGTGGATTCGAACTGCTGAACTTTTGGTTAGCAGCCATAGCTCTTAACCACTACACCACCAGGGTTTCCTAAGCACGTGGCAGAAACAAATGTAAATCTCATCCAGTAGAAGATAACTTCCCATAGGCTTCAAATTATTTTTAAAAAGAAATTTTTCAAATACAATGTCTAACACACACACACAAAAATCAGATTCATATGGAGTCAAGAGAATATGAATAGGAACAACCAGAAACAACATAGGGTTTCTAGATATAGGAGATATCACATTTGACTTTAAAATAACTCTACTTACTATGTCCAAAGCAATAAAAGACAAAATTAAGAATTTTGGAACTGGGAGGATGGAGATACATACATAGATACATACACACACACACACGCACACACACACACACATTTGAAAAAGAACCAAATAGGAATTCTGAAACTGAAAAATATAATAACCAAAATTGAGAGCTTAATAGATGAGTGTAACAGCATATTAGACACTGCTGAAGAGAAAATTAGTGAAATGAAAAATGCTAGAATATCCAGAATGAAGTATGAAAGACAAAATTATCAAAAGTGAAATTATAAAATACCACCCACCTAGCTTATTAATAGCCATCGAAATTCACTATTAATTTGAAAAGATAAAATGAAGGAAGACGATCATTTTGGTAAATTAAAACATATGTAGTTTTTGGCCTACTCCATAATTTTATGTGTGTGTGTGTGTGTGTGTGTGTGTGTGTGTGTGTGTGTTATAGATAGATAGATAATTTTATATACTTATTGGTTTTTAAAATACAGGTTTATTAGTTTAGTAGTCTTTATTAATTACTAAAATAATGACACAGTAAATGTATTTATCACTTTACAGTTACAAAGTATGGTGTGAGAGCACTCTAAAACCGAGGTGTTTGGCATGAGTAAAAATGACTGCCCGAAACCTGAATCAAAACCTCCATTTCTGAATTAAACTTTAGCTTGTGCTAAGTCCTCGTTTCTGCTTTCCTAAAAATATAACCTGTGATTTAGAGTCTAGTGAAACATAACTTCTTGTAAAGCTTTAACCACCCTCAGCAATGATGGGAGCAAGAATGTGGTTTGTGAAGAAATGTTCATCAGAAAATGTTAACCAAGGTGGTCTCAGGAGACTGTTTCTGCAGCATGCCCCAGGAAGAATGTATATGTAGGTATTCAGAAAATCGCTTGCTAGTTTGGCTCCAGGAAGTCTATGTTAGGAAATAGATCATCTAACCTTGTAAAATTTTAACTTGTGATTGCCTTATAGCCATATGTAATGCCAAACCCCATGATTAGAGTCATGTACTCCCTTCCCCATTTTCCTGTATAAAAAGCTCACCTCTCCCTAAGAATGTTGGGAAACTTTGTGACTGCACATTGTGTTGCTAAGGTATAACTGTTTCTATTCCTTAATAAAACTCCTTTTCTTTCACTCCTAACAGAGTATGAAATTTTCAACTTTGACATCTCTGGTGTCAGAAGTGGGATTCGAAGGAGCATTGCCTTTTGTGACCTCCAAGGCATCAAGGATTCAGAGCTGGTACCAACTGAGCTGTTTTTAGGCTCTCCGTTTCCACGAGTTCTTGGGAGTCATCTTAAGGTAAATAATCTCTTGAATTTGAGCTCCGGTTTCTTTGCATTGGTAGCTTTTCAAGTTTTATTGTGGATATGCTTTAGTTCTTGCAAGTAAAAAGTTTGTTTTGCTGCAGTGCAAACTCCAATATCTATTGTGAGTTTTGATGAATCATAGGGCATAAGATTGTCTCCTTATGGGGTATACTAAACCCAAGAAAGCAGCTGATTTTCCTAGTGGAACTTTGGCTTGCTACATAGCCAAGAACTGTGGGTCTAGGTCTTGTTTGTATTTGGATTTTTATTTGAGCTCCCTAATGACAGTTTGTTAAATCAGTGGACACTTTATGGTACTTTCAAATTGGAGACACTGGTATATTTAAGGTCTAAAATATGAGATTAGGTCTCTCGCTGGCAGAATGAACTAAGTTCAAAGAGAATGAAACCAAATTTTCAAACTAATTCTTAACATTCTTGATAAATAAGCCTGGATTTCCCCCCTTTCAGGACACTGGCATGGGGTTCTTGTTCAAAAACACTATAAGCTGAATATACTCAAAGTAATTTAAAATTTCAGTGATCACTTCGGGGAAAAGAGTTTCCATTTGCATTGTCCTTCTCAGAGAATTTTTGTTTAATGCTCAGTTTAAGTCAAAGGATCTGAGCAAAATCCTTCCATCTGAGATTCTGGCAAATTAATGAGTTTATCTAGGAACTGTTTTTCTGAATCCATCTCATCTAAGAATTGATGCATTCATTTACACAATTGTTAAAGAGTTTCAGTATTTACTGGGTAAATAAAAGGTTATAATGAAGAGAAGGCAAAATTGCTTATTAAGAGAATGGTAAAAATAAATAAATAAAAGGGAAAGAATTTAGATATCTTTTATCTTTCAAAATACTGAGGCCAACTTAAACATAGGTAAATGAATTGGGATGACCAATTCTTGTCTTTCACCATGAGCGAAAAGAGGAGGGTGAGGTAGGATCAGGTCTCCCTGGCTGCCA